GTGCAGTTATAATTCAAATAAACACTCATTTTATCAACTAAAAATTTATTTTATTTTATAAAGATATGAATTATTCTATTAATGAAAAGAGTTTAACAGTTAAAAGAATATAAACTAATCCATATCTATTTGTTTTGCAAGTATAATTTAATTTTAGGGGAGGGTTGATGGAATAGATTGTAAATAGGAGTTATTGAATTTAATACCTTTTACTTACAAAAAAATAGATAATTTAATTCTATTAATGTTTTCAATGTTCGTGTGCCTGACGAGTACTTATTAGTACATCTACATCAAACCTAATCCATCATATGAATTTACATTAATAATTATTAATATATCTTACATTTATATACTTTCCCTAATTAACATTAGCTTTTCATATTATTAATACTTTGAACTCCACTCAACTAGTGCCTATTGACCACTCGTTGGACACATCCATTTTTCTATTATCAAGAGGTCAAAAAGACTTATGAATGCTAAATGATTGATATCCATTTCCTGTTACATGAAAGGACGCATTGAAAGCATCAAAGTAGCAATAACTCTTCATAATTTCTCATTGCAATGTGAGAATTAAGTCGATAGGTTTATATTAAAAAATACAGTAATAGACACATATTTTAGGAATGTATGATATGTAATTTTAATAAATTATTAATTTATGATACGAATAGAAGCAAAAGGTCGTGTAAGGTTTTCAAAAATTTTATTATCTTATCATTTTATCAAAATTATTAATTTAACTCGTTAGCCCAGATCGAGACAAATAAAAGTTATTATTAATTTATCAAATATTAATTTACAGAGATTTTACTGTAATTTTAGATGTGCGTCATATAAATTTCATTTAAAGTCCAGATTCTCTTCTTACGCATGTGTCCTTTTTTTTTTTTCAAATCCTCATGCATAAAACAATTTTTACACTGAAAGACTAATCCAACAAATAATGGACTTGCCATATTTTAATATTCAATTCAAGATTAGTATTGAAGATGTGGTAAATGTCAAGAATTGAAAGGACAGTCGATTACATAGAGCGGCATGGACTGGCCTCCCCAACCCTTATCATGATGTCTATTATTTTGCATAAGCTGTTCGGTGTTCTTGGTCATTTGTCTGCACCACTATAAATAAAGCCAACAAATAGACGTGAGAAATTTCACTACAGCTAACAATACCTTTATAGATTTGCGGGGAAACGCTCATCGTATATTTTATGGGACTCCATACAACATGATTTGCCCCGCGTCAATGGTCCAGCGGGCCGCTCCGCTGGATTCCTCCACACACTTAACGTGTTCGGACCGGGTTGAGGTGCCGGATCTGAATCGCAGAAGATTAGTCGGACCCTGTAAGAATTGATCCGAACATCCCTGCGTCGACAAAAAAAAAAAAAAAAATACAACATGATTTGGCTTCACCAGGCATGCAAATCTTTTGATGATTCAAACGTTACGGCATTATGATTCTGTGTTGGGCCAAAAAGATGCAGACATCCATTATCATGGCATTTCAAAATATGTTAAGATTGCTATGCATTTACGACAGACTGGGGGTCCATATTGCCTCTACTCTAGTCCAATCAAAAGAATTCTAAATACTTAGATTTGTTCCACACTGATCAAACGATTTTGACTCTGGCCACCGTAGAAGGAACAGATGGCTACAATCCAACCTAAGTGGTTGAGCAATTTCTCTTGGCCTTCTCATAACTAAAAGACAACTTTGCTGAGACATGAGTCCAATAGCACATACCAGAACAGTCTGAACATATAACAACCCCCCGGCTGCTTTTTGAGGTCTAACTAGATCGCAATGAAGCCCGGTTGTTGGAATGTAGATTCATTTTCTGACAACAAAATCTAGCAGTAGTAAATTTAAAAAGTTAATACAAAAAAAAACAAATAAAAAATAAATCTAGCAATTATTTGTATGCGGCTTATGCTTAAGTGATAAACATGTATTTATTGGTTCTGTGATGTCATTGGTCGAGTCGAAGTGGGTTAGTGGTGAGAAATTATTTGAAGGATAAAAAAGAAATTCTAAAGACTGATAACTGATTGTTTACACAAAATCATCTGTTCTCGCTTTATTATTGTAGAGATAATAGCAAGTATGGATGCATGCTACTTATGCAAGAATTGAAGTTCAATTTCAAATTGAAATAGGCGACATGCATTTAGAGTTAAAAGATGAATCAAACTATAAGATACTCAAATCGAGTTCAACTCTGTAAGAGTTTGTTTTAGTTTGGTTCTAGTTAATCAAACCAAACTTTGAACATAATTTTGTGTTTGATAAACATTTAAATTCAGTTTGAATTCGCTTCGATTAGCACATAAGTGAAATGTGAATGTATAAAATTTAAAGGGAAATTTGCCAAATTGATCCCTAACATTTTTATAAAAATTTTTTTTAGTCCCTAATATTTAAAATCAGTCAGGATAGTCCCTAACATATAAATTATGAGTCAGTTTGGTCCTAATGCTCGTATTTGCTCATTTATCCGACTAAAAACAGCACACCTCTTTCGCATGGGCATAATTTCAAGAGCAAAATTGGAAAACATTCGTTAATCCATGATTTTACAGGCAAAACCTTCTTTGGATTCCTATTACTTTTTTCCCTTTCCCTTGACACCATTTTGCAAACTAGTCGGAAACCATCAACAAATTTCACCTTCTCAGTCCAAGCAGCTCTTGCACTTTCCTTGATTTCCCTATCCCCGTATCAAACCCCCAAGCCCTTCTTCAATTTCACCATACCTCTCAAAATAATTCAACAAAGTCTCAGAACTCATCTTAGTTGGTTGGCACATTCTCCACCAATTTTATTGCTGACAAACCTATCAATTTTATTGCTGGGGTTTTCTAGGGCAAGCAAGAAAGAATCAACATTCTTGAAAGTAACAAAACCATAGACTTTTGATAAAAATCTTGCGGTAGGATGGGATGTCATCAACGATGGAAAGAATGGTATGGAGAATGCTAGAATGGACAATCGCAATTTCTGAAGGATTCAACAATTTGGGATTTCGTGAAGGATTGCAAAATGCAAAATTTCACCTTATTCAAACTTCAAGTTTTCTGGTTCTCTTGAGATAATCAGGCTTTGGGTTAGTGGTGATGGTGGAATGCATTTGATGGAGTAGGTGCATGGAAAATGACTCAAGATTGACTCTAGGAGGAGTGGGTGGAGTTATGGAAGAGTAGCCATTGAGAACTTGAGCTTTGAAGAGAATATTCTCTTTCTTTAAAAGTCTAAAACCATGGATCAACGAATGTCTTTCGATTTTACCTTTAAAATTATATCCACGTGAGAGAGGTGTGCTATTTTTAGTCGCAGAAATGAGCAAATACGAGTATTAGGACCAAACTGGCTCATAATTTATATCTTAGGGACTATTCTGACTGCTTTTAAATGTTAGAGACTAAAAAAGTTTTTTGTAAAAATATTAGGGATCAATTTGTCAAATTTCCCAAATTTAAACTATTCGAACTCAAATTTAGTTGAACTCTATAAAAATTGGTTCGAGTTTGGTTTGAGAATAAACAAGTTAAATTTGAACAAAATATTAAATTCGTCAAAATAATCAAACAAGTTTGACCATTAGAATGCTCGACTTGTTTGGATTCATTTGTGCTTCTACATACATTCATGTCCACTAGTATCAATATCATTAGCGTATACAAAATTAACCCTTTTTCATCCTCACGAAAAGATAAAGCGGTCCACGAAGTGTTCCTTAAAAATTTTACCAAAACACATCGAGGGTTGTCCTTACATGCAGAGGCGGCGGCCCAATTGGGAGGGACATCCAATAGTCCAGCTTATAAGGATTACGTAAACCTGAACTCTGCACATCCTGGTCGTTTAGAGCCTTATTGACGTTGTTGTCCAGAAGCCCAGTCGTGGACTGTTAGACTTTAGTAATTTTCAATTTCAGCTATCATTTTTAAAATTGATTTCCAGTGAAAATTTGTTTTAAACCACAGAAAAACAAAAAATTTTCTCGGCTTCATGCATGCTGATCATAATGCACCTAAAGAATTCAAGACAGTAATAATAATATTGTAAACATGGTGGAACCTGTTGCCCAGACGAGCATGAAGATCGATGACCAATTGCTCCTCAGCTTCAGTAAGAAGGCCTCTCTTCAAGTCAGGCCGAAGATAGTTAGTCCACCGGAGCCTACAGCTCTTGCCGCAGCGGCGAAGCCCGGCGAGCTTGGGCACGGCCCGCCAACAACATTGGCCATTAGTAAGAATAAAGCTAATAAGCTTCTTGTCTTCCTCGGCCGTCCATGGCCCCTTCTTCACCCCAAGTTTGTCACAGCAAGGTTGTCTCCCCATGACCGCTACCTATGAGCTAGTTACTAGCAAGCCAAGCCAAGCCAAGATGAATACTAGCTATATATTACTATTCTGATCACCAATCGCAATGGAATATATGAAGTAGCTAGTCTCCCAATATGCATATGCTATATGATATGAGATCATATGATGAAGCGAAAATTTGCCAAGACTCAAATGTCCCCTACCCACCTATATATACTGGTACCAACTTTTGTGTAAAGGTGTTGGCCTTACCTTCCCTATTCCCATCCTAGCAAATTTTCATATATGTGTATATATTGCCAAATTAATAGTGTATATATGTTATATGTTTAGATTACACTAGTAATTAATATGGGTGAAAGAGGGAGGGATTCCATGGCCCACCATTGGTTTATTGAAAAGTACAGATGAACTAAAATCATCTTGTTCTGGTGAAATCAGACTAGAAACACTAGACAAAGGTGGTGGTGATGATAGTGAAACTGATAAAAGGGGTGACCCTAACACAAAGCTACATCTAAGCAATTCCCCAAAATATTTCTTCCCATTTTCCTACACAAACCACTCCCTCATTGCACTCTTACTCAACCATTCCATCACCTATTTCGTCATCACCACGTCTACGTGTCCGTTTAAAATCTTTGGGTCATAATCCTATCTTCGTTTAAGCTCCTTAGCGAATCTTGTGAAAGCATGGCATTTTGTTCAAGGAGTATGATTAGCAGGAAAGAAAGATGCAGTTATTTTGGTATTTTTTATGTAAAAGTAGTGTGCTACAGTTGGTTATATGCAGTTATTTTGGTATTTTTTTAATGTAAAAGTAATGTGCTACAGTTGGTTATCATCATGGTCCATCAAGTACATTTACTTCCCTTTGATCTCAATGAAACCATGGAGAAACACCTGTTGATTGTGCCTTACTCAATATGAATGTTGGAAACATTTATATACTGAACCAAAATGTAGAACTTTGATCAGGATTTTGATTGTTTATCTCTTGACCTTATCGTTCTGTTTTGGCATTTCTTTAGATCAGCCAGCATCTTTTCTCTGACTAGAATCATTGTTTACAAAATCTGTTGATTTAAGAGGATGATTCTTAGACCATTACCTTGATTTGTGTATCTCAAACTTCTCAAAATTGAGGAAAATTCATTTTGAGAAAATGGTTTCTGGCATTGTGCCCACTTGCAAATTGGAAAGTAAAAGCCATTAACAGAATTATGGTTAGCTGTATGATGAACAAAAGTGTGGTGTGCCTCAAAAAATATCCTCCGAAGATGCAAAAAAAAATAGTTTTAACAAGTATATTTCTGATGACTGAGTACAAGCTAATCCGTGATTTGTAAGGCTGCAGGATTGGCAATAGAAGAATGGGCAAGATGACAACTACTACTGCAAGATAAAGACAGGGACTAAAAGGAGGAAGAGTATACAAGAATAAAGAAACTTAATTCTTAAGAGACTAAGCCAATCTTCTTTGAATATTGGAATCCTCATATTAGGTTTAAGAACTTGATGGTCTCCAAACCCATGGAGAAATGACTCAGCTCGCAAGAAAAGCTGTTTTGTATTGACTAGGATTTACTTCTGATTCACCGCAGTCTCCATTAAGACTGGGATTGTAATGGGGTGTTGCACACAAGTACAACTCAGACAAATTATGGTTCCAAATGCATTCTGCAACCTTCCCCAGTGTCATGTCAGTTAAGAAAAAACTACTTGTACTATAGGCTAGCATAAGTCCTAATCTTTTGCTTCTGATAGACAATCTGACTCTTGGGTTTGTATACTGAGAGCAAAAGTCTCCTTTCTACAACTTTTCGTATATGGATGAGCTATAACTTAATATCTGTGTCATCACTTAGTCATACTTAAGATTGACAGGAGTTTTCTGATATTTGCATTTAAAAATGATAAAGCTGTTCATCCTTTCTTTCACTGCTTCCCTTTCAGCTTGTTGAAAGCCCATACTTGCGGAAGCTTCATGACTTGATTAACAATGAGGCCAAAGCATTGGATGGTATCTATCTCGTTCCAAATGGAGTGCATTCAATCTTACAAATTAAAGAGCAGCAGTTTGCCATGCATTGTGATGCAATGAAAGAAGAATTTAAACTGGTAATGATAACACTTGGGACTGTTCTTAAAAATGAAAATCTCTGTTATTTAAACCCTGTTTTAACATTTTATTCAGCTTTCAGAACCATTCAAAGTTTTTGATTTTGAATTTTGGAAAAGGCCAGAAAGCAATAGAAAAACCGAGGTCTGCATAAAAGCTACTAATGATGGTACAATTCATGCTATTGTCTCATGGTAATATGTCGGAACAACAATAACCCCTTTTCTCTGTATTTCTGTTAAGGATTTTAATATTCAGTTTTTCTGTCAGGTGGTTGCTTCAACTTGACAATGAAGGAACAATTTTTTATTGTACTGGACCAAAATGGATTAGTGATCAATCCAAATCATTCTTCCCGGGTAAGATGCAACATCTGTTGATTTTCTCCTCTCATCACTAATTAATTTTCACCTGTAAGCAGTAATCAATGTGTCATTGGGAGTCATCATGCATTAGCAATCTGTTAAAAAGTGATTGGGCCTTTTCCTGTTAATCCAACTGAGGACAAACTTTGAGGACAGTTTGTAAACTATTTCACATTACAAATGGAAGTTTTATACTTTGTTGCCTAGAATACAGTTGTCTTACTGGAGATCCATCTTTTGGCAACAGTATTTGCTTTTCCTAATGGTTCCTTAATTTTTTCAAAATTTTGCAATCTAAACTTATTTGAACTGTAGATGAATATGGCACAAACAGATGCAATGACTGCTTTTAAGTAGGATTAAAATTGGGATAATACAAAAGAAAATGGTGATGAAAGTAGGTCTGGGACAATTTATGTCTGCACTGAAATAGATTAATTTCTGTCAAGGAGCACAAATTCTTGATGCTGCCTGTAGCCCACAGCTCAAAGGAATTGCTTCTCCATAAACTTTAACGACTAAATACTGCAGCATTTTTCTGATCTGTCTCCCATGTTTTAGGTATTCTGGTCTGCTGATCTGACTTTATTTTCTATTCAAATTATAATTCTGTCTAACTTAATGCCTTCTTAGGTATGGGAAATTGGTGTGACCACTGGAAACAGTGCATTTGGTTCCTACCAGAGAAAGGTATGACTGTGTGCAAGCATCAAGAGGTTTTTGTAGGTGCTAGACATACGAAAACTAGTATCTCATACAGAGTTAAGACTTCATTGGAGAAAGAAGATGGGGGACATTGCGACCCTTCTCCAGGAGATAATCAGATCTTTCTAACACCGGAGCAAATTGCGATATATGGAGATTGTAATTGGCGATTGTCAATGTTTAATGTGATTAAGAATGCTGTGAGTTACTTGTATTTCACTCGGCTGATTAATTATTTCTCTTGGTTTACCTGCTTGATGAAATTAAGTCGACTAGGTTCCCCTAAAAAAGTGCTAGCGAATTTGGATATTTTGATAAAAGGTTTCCCGTGGAAAAGGTTCATTTTACCCTTGAACTTCATAAATTGAAGCATATTTAGGAACATAAAAGTGCCCCCTATACGCCACTGGTTTATACATGGAAGCATGTATATGAAGATAACCGTGCTTCCTATGCTCCTAGCACTTTAACTCTGCGACTGCGAGTCTTTATATCTTTTTTAAAGCAATTCTCCAATTATTATGACCGCTAATCATGTTAGCTTGATCCTGTGATTTACAACTTCACTTAAGTTTTTCTTAAATTCTGAAGAATAACAAGGTCTTTACCTATCACCTGTTCAAATATTTGATTTGTTTACTTGTCATTGACTTGTTTACTGCAGTTGAAGCAGAAAGTTTCTCCCATGTGCATTGTTGTGGATGACAGTCTTTTCCTGCCGATTGCTATTGCCAGTCTTTCTAAATCAGCACATGTTATAGCCTTGTTCCCTGGACTGCGAGAGAAGGGGACCCACTATTTGCAAGCCGTTGCTTCTTCAAATTTTTACTCAATGGATCGTTTAGAAGTTCTGAGGACAAGGAACCAGCAATTGACAATGGAAAATACGCATCAAACAAAGGTTTGGGATAAATTTTACCTGACGATGGGCTTTTTTTTTTTATATTGGAATGTTTTGTTCGGTCTGACATAAATTGAGATTCATGTTGGCTTTTTAACCTTTATATCTTATAATTTCACTTCGTGATTCTCTTTACTGCTTGAATATTACAGTTTCATTTATATCCCCTCTCTGCAGGTTGGCCTTTTTGTTGGAGAACCTTTCTATTATGGAAATGAGAATGTGCTTCCTTGGCGAAACTTGCGATTTTGGTAATTAAGGTGTTTGCTCATGTGCATTTGTTAATCATGGACCGAAAGAAAACTTATATCTCTTCTCTTGACCTGAAATGTTGAATTCTCTGGTAATAACTTGAAATATCACCTTGACAGCATGATTATGTCTTGAACATTATGACAATTTTCTGTTTCCAATTAATTGATGAAACAAAACAAATATTAGCAAATAATAATTTAGAACTGTATGGTTTCACAATATTAGCAAATAATAAAGGATGCTCTTGATTTCACATTTTTTCATTTGTTAAAACTGTATGGTTTGGCTAAATTACTCCTAGACAATTTCTGTACCTGCTAAAATAGTATAATACAGGCAGAGACCATCATGCACTTTTGAATGCCACTCTTGGATCAATTTTTGGTGCTCTCTCTCACTCTGCACCTTCCCCTCTCTCCACCTCTCTCTCTGTTTCTCTCGTATGCATACTTACGTACTTGCTGCTTTGCTTTTAGTGTCTGAACTGTGTGGACGCGGTGATTTTGCAACACTAAGTCTGCAGATTTAATTTAACCATCACATTATGTTTTCTTACTGACGTCTGTACTCGTAGTTTGAGGAGTTTATCTCTAGTTTTTCATGAACTGATGTGATTTGCAGGAAGGAGCGAACAATGCATGATTCTGTCCTATCAAAAGACGTGCTGATAGTGCCTTGTAAGGGTATATTGAGGGCTTGTGCAATGTCTCTTCCTGTAAGACAGAACTACTAGTAGCTGCCACTTTATTTACTTCTTTGGTATTTTGTATTAATAGCGTGGGGACACCAACTTATTAATCAGGATTTTTGGAGAAGTCGCCGATGCCTGCAAGAGATTGAAGGCTTTGATCATTCAGTTGCCAATTCTACTTTAGGGGCATGTGGAGACTTACCCGCAGATGAAGAAGGTCCTTGTCTACCCTTTCCTATATGGCAGTGTGGCGAAAGCAAGGTACTCTATATGGTGCTCAGGAAAAGTAAATATTATGTTAGAGAAAAGTTTTCCTGGTTTGAAGTACACCTCTTACTGTTGAAATACTTTTTAACTCGTTTCAGAGACTCAGTGATACGGTCTCTATCATGGAATTTGATTTCTTGAAACCAATCAGTTCATGCGCTGGGACAGCTCAGGTATCATATGCTGATCTAAGCATGCAAAGCTGCACTAACACTGGGGCTCTTAATAATATTCTCTTGAAAAATGACCTACTGTGATGCGAATACTAAGAGTAGATTTACAGGTTGAATTTACAGAATCTGGGATTTGTCATGGATTTGTACTTTGGATTGATTGGATGATGGATTCATCCACTGAGTTGTCAACCGGACCAGGTCCGTATTACTGTTATCAAGGATCTATCTTGCTTCTTTTCTCTAATTGTATTTATGTAGTATTATAGATTCGCTTATTAGCTTCATTATTGTTGACAAAACCTCTTCACTGTCATCATCACATATAAGTAGCACGATAGGAGCTCCTTGTTAAGTTGATTGTGCCTTTCAGATAAAGGATATTGGAAGCAAGCAGTGAAACTTCTGAATAAGCCTGTAGCTGTTGGAAGCCACGGATTGACTCTTGCTGATTGTTTCTCTACAGAAATCAAAGCATCATTTGATCCGTCAAGTGGTGACCTCAATATTAAGTATGTATTTTTCTAATTCAGGAACTGGCAATCTGTTACTGTCCATGCCTTTTTATCCTCATGATTTCCTTGATGTAACTGCGAGGTGAGAAAGATTGAACTTTCATTGATTAGGACATTCCTTTACCATTTTTTTTCCCCTCTCAAATAAATGAGTGTATAAGTTCACTGCAACGGGTAAATATCCCGTGAACTGATGCATACAAAAACTCTTATCCTACTGGACATTACAAAATTGGTATCCTTATGGTATCTACAAAATGCCAATCAAGATGCCAAAAGACAAGTCTAAGAGTTGGCATCCAGACCCATCTGATTCCTGGCTGCAAAGCAAGAATAAAAAATGCTTGATGAAAGTTTCCATAGTCCACCACACAGGCAGTAACTGCCTGTTGAGTGTAATATGGCAACTAAACTGAACTGAGGAGGGCTAAATCTTGATTGAATGACCTTACCTCTGTCTGTAGTTAGTTCCCAAAATGACCGGGAAAGCAAAAAGAGAAGATGGAATGGCTTCGGATATTTATCCAGAAGCGCCACAAGACATGCCATCACTTGTTCTCCTAGCGACACCAAATTCTTATGGAGGCACAAGGGAATTCGGATACAAACTATCTTGAAAAAATCCTTCCCTTTTCCTCTTTTCCAAGAAACGCACCATAAAAGGAATCATATGACTTAAAAGGGCCGTTTAAGACTTGGGAAAGTGAAGAGGTCCCAAAGTTTTACAAGTCTTCATCATGGGGCCAAGGATCTGACTGATTTCATGGACGTTTATATTCTGTGTGCTTCCTTGGGGATCACCAGCTCCTCAAAGTCATCAACAGTAACCTGTTGCAGACAAAAGTAATTCTAGTCATCAAGTAAATATAGTGAAAGCTGATGGAAGAGGACTTGGGTTTTACCTCGTATTTATTGCCACCATAGGTGTACTCTATGTACAACTGCTTAGGTTCTCCTGGACAAGGATCACAAAAGCCCATAATTCCGGATTTTTTTACACCCCCATGTAGCTGCACCAACATTTTTCAAGTCAATAATCAAAGCTGAAAAGGTCCAATTCATGTGATCTCAGAAAAATATCCTCATCCGAAACAGGAATATAATTGGTATTCACAAATTAGATGAAGATGCTTCCAGAAGCACCGACTTCAACATAACCCTGTTGAAAAAATTTAAAGAGGAAGCACACCTTAAGTTGCCCTGACTCATTAACCAGGAAATTTAGAGGTAGAGTAACATCGATGATTTGTGAGGTAGCTTCATCTTTTGCTTCTTCAGATTCACTTCTATTTCTCAGAGCTTTACGACTTCCATAAGTTGCTTTTGTGACCACAAGTCCGCCAGTTTCGAGTTGTCTACTCCTTTTCCTATTGGCCACATTTTGCAACAACTTTTGAGCTTTTTCAGCAGTGGCCCTTGACTCACGAACCTATGCAGAACAAAAAGAAGTAAAAGGAGAAACATAGAATTAAGAAAGTTTCAATTTAAGATATAAAGGAAAATTAGGCAACAAAAGTGAATACAATTGCTAATGCATCAGTTGATAATTTCATTCATTTTGTCCAATATCCATGCCAGTCATATTCTGTTCTTTTTAGATAACCTTAACAGGTCCAGTCCATTAGAACCCTAGTTTTGTCACAATAAGCATTCGAAAGGAAATCCTTGATATAGACAGAAGATAGCATACATTATGCAGAGAATGGTGGCAATAAGCTTCTAGACAAGCAATCTATGTATGGTTCAACCAAGTGGAGATTATATAATCGGAAGGAAAGACCAGCACTAGAAAGTATGTAGAATACCTGGGATAGAGTTTTCTCAGCATTCTCCAACGACTTCTTTTTCTCACGTTTCAGATTATAAGGTTTCACAATGTAGGTCTGCAATTACAAAGCAAAAACGTTACAAACCCTCTGGGAGATGCAGATAATACAATGTAACCTGGAAGATATTCACAAGTCATGCTCAACTAGTTAGTTATGATCTATAACTGAACAGGTTACTTTTTCAAACTGCAGAATTCTTTCATAACGGCATTTAGGAGCAAATTCCAAATTTCAGGTAGTTCTAAGCGCTTTAAAAAAGAAGAAGAAGAACTATGAAGACGAATGATAGCAATTGCAAAAGTTCAATAAAGTGGACATTAATGATTCACTGGTTTCCCATACACCAGGTCTCAACCAAAAATTTTACAGCTCAAAACAAAGCATGGAGTAATGCCTTTCTGCTTAATCAACATCTTGCAATAGTTTATTAAGCAAATATCAGATGGAGACACTAATATGTCGTTAATTTACTTCACAGACTGAAGCACCAACCTTGACTAGAAAGTAAAGTGACGTTGGAATAATAAATGCTCCACTAGCAAAGATAGGGTTCAACTGTCTGGACAGCAACACCTGCAAATTTAGATCATCAAAGATTTTATCAACCTCCAGTACATGGATTTAGAAAAACCAAGACAGGTTATTAATTTTACAACTCTAAAGAGAATTAAGATCCTCTAGTTGTATTGCAGTCACCTAGACAACTATATCAAAGGGTAAAACATTGTGGCAAATCACCTCCAATTAACATATTATATGGAAAAGAAACTAATTGATAGAAGAAATACATAACTCTTACCTTTCTAAGTGCATTGAACTTTTATTAAGTCTATAATTAACCTCAATTTGCAGTTTCATCAGAATAGGTTTCTGTGGACTGGAAAGAAGGAGAGCAGAATGCAAGAAGGTGGATTTACAGGTGACCCAAATTTGGAACAAACTCTTGCCTGGATAACAAAATCAGTTTCCAGGCTCTCAGAGATTTTCTTGCAGAGAAAAACACGTACAAACTTAAGCTCAGTTACATAATCAATAAGATTTCATGAGTAGATTCGGCAAGTTATATGACCTAACTAAAAGCAAATATATGTTCGCTGCAGATGCTAGACGTCCTTTACCCAAAACCAAAGTACAATAAGCATATGCTTGGTTGCCACACTGAGAATATACTTACAGGAACAATCAACTTTTGACCTCCCCGGTGCAATTCAAATTTCCAAAAGATTCCCTATAAATAACATATACAGCTGTTAGAGATGAAAACAAGCTTACAACAGGTAATATCACATATAAAAACCACAGCAGAAAACTCCAAAATTGCTATTCATTTTCCCTCCCTTCCCCATCCAAACCACCATCCTTTAAACCCAATGTAATTAAGGAATAAAGAATGTAATGTTTGACGTTGGGGGTAATCTTTGAAACAAAATAAAAAAATCTATGCTTCTGTACATGAAAGTTATGCACTCCAATAAGAACAAGTAAACCATGAATTTTGATCATACAGAAGAAGCATAGAGCATAAAACTTGGTGTACTGATTTTTTATTTTTACCAAAAAAGTGACCAGATGATGTTACATAACAATGATTGGATCTCTTTGATATCACAGGGCCCATGAACAATGAATTAACCAACCTATAAGTTAAGCAAGTCTCATTATGTTTTGTTGGCATGTCTTGTAGTCTTACTCCTTTGATGCAACATAAGCCTAGAAAGTCAATATGCAGCTTTGACAACATTAATTTCTCTATCTATGGCTCCAAATGGCTCAATGCCAAATTTGGAAGTTGTTAACTCCACTACCTGAATTCCAATCGTATACAGCATGCGAACAGTGCTGAAGTTGGATATTTTTCTCCCACCTCCTACTTCAAGTTCAAGTGCTCCACTGAAAAATTTGGTGTCCAATGTCAGAAGTCAAAAGACAAGCAGCAAATGATTACTGCAGGCACATAAAACCTTTCAAGTAAACCAGTCAAACTATGCAACCCTTTAGCAGCATGCTGCTCTCATGTTTTTAACCGGAAATTAAGATACTAAATCACAAAATATGTTTTTAATCAAGAAATTCAGTTAAATGAAAAATATTAGAGGCACTTATAATACAATGCAATGGACATACAAGCACAATAGGCAAAAATAACACCAGCCTTTTGTCATTTGGTACGTAGCAGAATATATAATTGCAAAAATAATACTAGGAAGCACTTCCAATTTCCAGATATATAATTGCAAGCTGCTCCACAAGCAATAAAACAAGGTATCACTTTTGAAGTTATGAGAGACGATTTTAATATTAGACAAATTGCATTCCTAGTCAAATATATTTCCACTTCTAAAGTTGCATTTCAAAAAATAAGGTAGTCAGGGATGCAGAAGAGGTATCACTTCGAAGTATCATTATTACGACAAAGACCCAAAGACATAAATACACACCACCAAACATAGACACACACAAAGACAGGGAGAGGGAGAACTCATTGATCTTGCATGTTTAAGGCACTATTTGACTAGCACTTACGTATTCAAGATATCTCTCGACTATATCTATATGAGGCTCATGCTCAGATTCCAGAAAATTTTAGGCAAATTAAAGATGCAAAACTAACAATGTTTAATAATACACAGACCTTCCAAATCTTCCTCCAACGCGCCCATGGGAGTTTGAGGAGAAGCGATGTGTATAATGAGCTGTTAAGCCAACTGCACCTGGACCGATCTACAATATGTTGAAAATGATTAGTGATAGAACATCTAAGGTAAATAACAGGGAAGGTATAGGAAAGAAGATTCAAAAAAGAGGGCGAATACACCAATATTGGTGTTCCATATTTGAAGCTTGATCATACTAGATGTAAATATACTAGATGCAAAAATAATTCAAACATAAAATAAGGTGAAATCATTACTTGTGAAGCTTCTTTCCTGCAAATGAAAAGAAATTTGACTTGATAAAAATTTGTTTTCCAAAATATCTATGATATTAAATGAATAATCTGAAATCCTAACTTTCGTATGCATTTTACTACTAATAGACTCATTATTATTCACTCAAAGATACAATGCTGAGTGTCCTGATATGCATTTACTCATAGGAAAGAGAAACATTAGCTGGTTAAACTATAACTGCATTACGAGCCAGGCTGCCCTTACAGAGCCATACCTTGATATCCCCAGCAGCAGACATTTTTTGATCCTTCTTTTGCCAGCCAACGCCAATAGATGTGTCTGTCCCTAATGCAAGTTGTATCTAAAATAAAGCAAAACCACAAAACTAATAGTGAATTTGGCCCAAAAAAAAATAAGAAGAAGAGAAGAATCAATATGAGGAAAATTTA